GGTAAAACTCAAATAAGAGATCTAACCAGAAGGTTCAACTTAAGAACTCCAGTTGCAAAAAGAATCGAATCGAACGAAGCAACGAAAGTCCAATGGCGAAAGAAAACAACTTCGTTCTAGTAATCTGGATCTAGGGCAAATTTTACAGTAGCAAAAACTTGTTTAAGTTGGTTAAACGGGTAGAGGGTTTCGAGACGAATCCCTAGGCGCTTGAATCGCCTGATTCCGATAAACGAGCGAAAAGTTAAACTAAAACGAAAATCGGACCAGGAATCGTGATCAAAAAAATCGCGGATTTAATCCGAGAAAAAGAAAAACGACGAACGCCGACTCTTTTTTTTCCTTTTTTCGGCACGGAAAACGAGGCGCGACGAACCTCGGCGGCGAGATCCGGCGACGGCGGTGGCTTCTTAGGGCGGCGCCGGCTTAGGGCGCTTTAGGGTTTCCCCCGGGGCCGGGCCTCGGCTTATAAAGGTCTCCCGGGTCGGTGTCCAGTTTGGACACGGCCCGTTAAGTCGGTTCGTTTTTTTAGTTATTCCGCTCGGAAGAAAAATAAAAAGAAATACCGGACTCCAAAAATTCCGAAATAAATTTTCACGGGCTTCTAAAATCAAGTCGCACAAGGTGAACATTTATTTGGGACCCAAATGCAATTTTGAAAAACACACTTTTTTCCTAAATTCAAATAAAACACCGAAAAACTTCAAAATAAAATCTTATTTGATTTTATTATTAAATCCTCAATATTTCTTTATTTGGGAAAGTCATTTTATTCCCTCTCTCATATTTTTGTAATAGAAATAATTGATGATACGATAAATAAAATCAAATGATCCTATTCTCAAAATTTGAGAAAACTCAAATATGAAAATAACGAAATCCCCAACTCTCTCCGTGGGTCATTGAGTTGCATAGAATTTCTAGGATCAACCAAAATGCAAAATAAAATATGATATGCATGATGCTCTAATGTATAACATTCCAAATTGAAAATTTGGGATGTTACAAACCTACCCCCCTTAAGATGAATCTCGCCCTCGAGATTCAGGTTGGCTAGAAAGGGTGGTCTTTGAGCAAATCTTCCTCTCGCTCCCAGGTGGCTTCATCCTCCATGTGGTGGCTCCACTGAACTTTGCAAAACTTGATAACCTTGCTGCGAGTAACTCGGTTGGCAAACTCGAGGATCTTAATTGGCTTCTCCTCGTAGGTCAAATCGTTATCCAACTGAGTAGTTTCCAAGGGCACTATGATTCTCTAATGCATAACATTCCAAATTGAAAATTTGGGATGTTACAGGAGGAGGCCGGCTCGGGGAAGGGTGGCCGATGGGGGAGGAGAGCCGGCGCGGGCGAGGGCGATCGGCGGGAGAAGACCGGCGCGGGGACGGCGGCGCGCGGGGGAGGGCGGCAGCGACAGCGTGCGGCGGAGGCGCGCGAGTGGAGTGTGTGAGGGGGGTGAGGTCGAGCGTGGGCCGTGGGTGTGGATAAGGAGCCCGTAGTAGTAGCGCTTGTATGTAGAAAGCAGTATGTAGAAAGCGCTACTGCTACGTTGAATAGTAGTAGCACTTTCTACATAAAAGTGCTACTACTAAGCCTGGCATGCCGGCAATGGTCTGGCAGTTGTAGTAGCAGTGTGTTTTATGAACACGGCGCTATTGGTAAGTGCATAGTAGCAGCGCTTGTCATTTACAAGCGCTACTGATAAGTAGTAGCAACGGTTTCTTATAAAAAGCGATACTACTAAGCTCCTGTGTATAGGCATTTTCCTACTAGTGAGGGGTTACCGGAACCCCGGGCAAGTAATGGGCCAACATGGGCCATAGGGGAGAGAGAGAGGGGAGCCCACAAGGGGTGGTGCCCCCTCCCCCCATGGGCTGTCCGAATTGGACAAGGGGAAGGGGGCGTGGCCCCCCTTTCCTTTCCCCCTCTCCCTCTCCTTCCCTCTTTCCACCTCCATGAGAAGGAAAAAAGGGGGCGAATCCTACTAGGATTGGAGTCATAGTAGGACTCTCCCCTCTTGGCACGCCCCCTGGTGGCCGGCCTCCTCCTCTCCCTCCTTTATATACGTGGGCAGGGCACCCCTTGGAGACACACCAATTGTTCCAAGCCGTGTGCGGCGTTTCTCTCCACGGTTTACTCCTGCGGTCATATTCACGTAGTGATTAGGTGAAGCTCTGCGCGGATCATATTACCATCACCGTCACGCCGTCGTGCTGACGAAACTTTCCCTCGACCCTTTGTTGTATCAAGAGTTCGAGGGACGTCATCGAGTTGAACGTGTGCTGAACTCGGAGGTGTCGTACGTTAGGTACTTGATCGGTTGGATCGCGAAGACATTCGACTACATCATCTGCGTTAACCTAACACTTCCGCTTTCGGTCGACGAGGGTACATGAACACATTCTCCCCCTCTCGTTGTTATGCATCTCCTAGATAAATCTTGCGTGATTGTAGGAAAAAATTTGAAATTGCATGCTACGTTCCCCAACACTTCCACCCTTCAAGAAAACAGGTATCATCTGAACGAGTTCGCTAGTAGGAACTATCCTAGGACTCCACGTGAACTATTTAATCCTAGACACTCCAGCCTTAGAGTTACGGCTGAGAGGGCATTTGGAGCTCTGAAGAATAGGTTTAAGATCTTGGATCAGAACCCATTCCACACTTTCCCCTCCTAGGTTAAGCTTGTTCTTACTTGTTGCATTCTGCATAACTGGATCCTACAATGGGGTTGTGATGAACTAGTGTCGTGGGAGGAAGAGGTGAGCATGATGATGTTGTCAGCTCTGGCCATGGTGTGGTGGCATTTGACAATGAAGCCTGAAAGAACAAAAGGATGAAGTGCGTACATGCAATATGGGATAACCAAGGTCAGACAAGGATCTGAAGAAGAGCAATAGCAGAAGAGAAGAAGAAGAAGAAGAAGAAGAAGAAGAAGAAGAAGAAGAAGAAGAAGAAGAAGAAGAAGAAGAAGAAGAAGAAGAAGAAGAAGAAGAAGAAGAAACATCAGCAGAATAAGAAGAGGACGAGGATGGACTTCCAACAAGTTCGGCATCAATGAACTTTCCCCTATTGAGCCATTTGGTTGTTATATTTGTACTGATATTTGTTAGTGGCTATGATGAACTACGATTTGTGCCTACCTAGGACTGAAACTATCTTCAGATCGTGAATGGTAAGGTCACCACTAGTGAGAAGTGGTAGTAGCACCTTATGCAGCTTGAAATCAAATATCGTGTAGTTTGTGCGCCCAGTGCAACGCATGTAACAAAACGGCATGTCTATATTGGTTCCCTCATGCAGCCAACTTAAATGCGGGCAACCTAATTATGTGCAAACACTGGTTTTTGGTGTGTTTTACCTCAGTCGGTCTCATCTAAAACACATATGCAAAGAGGGAAAAAATGGTGCCGGTAACCAAACACGCCCCAAGATTATTCCCTCCACCTCCTCTTCCACCCAGCGTCATTCCACTGTTGGTGGCCATCCAGAATGATGTGGTTGCTTTATTATTACGATGGTCGGATGCCTGCAGTTCTGGTCTTCTATTATGTTTTAAGAGCATCTTCAATAGATGATACAGATGTAAAAACAACTAACTTTTACATCTCTGAGGTCTAAACCACACCTCCAACAGATGACGTAGATGTAAAAAATTATATCACCTGCTCCAAGTGATGTAAAATACAATACTTAAAGATGCAAATTTACACCTCCAATAGCCAGAGATAAGGATGGCAATTTTACCCATGGGCATGGATATCCATCGATATCCGACCCGAATGAATAGGGTTTGGATATGCTTTTATGTCCATGGGCGGCGCCCAAACCCGCCCCCATTGCTCGTGGGTAGGGCATGGATAATCTTGACCCGGCCCGATAGTATGATTTAATAGGCAAAAATCAGCTATCCCTACCCCCACAGTCACATGTCCCACTGCAATTTTATACTTTGTTATCTAAAACATGTAAAAGAAATTACACAATCCCCGTCATATTTTTTATTAGTTGACATTCAATCCCCTCTGTAACATACTTCAATATTTTTATCTCCTTGTTAAATGACTCGACATTCTCATCTGTTAGAAAAATACTACATGATCTTAGGTTGTTAGTGGACGTTGATTTACCAAAAGTGAAGCCTAACCTGCCACGAGGCGAAGAATGGAAGAGTTTATGTTAACATTGTGTTATGCCTTATTTATATGTCTCGAGAGGACCCGATGGATATCCAGTGGGTATGGATATCCATCAGGTCTAGACATGGAGATAGTTTTACACCCGTGGATTTTTTTCATGGACGGGCAAAGACCGTCTTCATGGATATGGATATGGATTTTATATTGTTCAACCCAATCCAAACCCGGGCCAATGCCATCCTTAGCCGGAGATGTAACCCAGATGCAAAACGACAAGCCGCGCGGCAACCCAACCACTTTGAAACTTCCCCTCCCCTCCCCCACTGGACGCCTACCTCGATCCGCTGCTAGCCCGCTACACCCCGCCGCCGGCAGACCGGCCTCCCCACCCCCGCCGCCGGATCTGCCGCCTAACACCTCTAAATCACTGTCGTTTCGCCGCCCCACCGCTGCCACCCGCCGCGCCATTTGAAGCTCGCCCGCCGCCTTGCTGCTCGTCCTCAAGCTCGACCGCCGCTCGTCATCAAGCTCGACCGCCGCCCCACTGCGTCCTCAAGCTCGGCCGCTGTCGATCGTCTCGATCCGTCGCCGCCATGCCGCCGAACAAGTTTTACATCATCTGTTGGAATGTAAAAATTATTTTTTATGTAAATTATGCAACACCTACTTTTATATCTCCAAATATACATCATCTACTGGAGATGGTCTAATCTTGCATCGTTCTGTTTGAGCATCGTTTGAAATTCGAAATTGAAACCGCCCCCTGCCGCACGTCGCGAAAGGGGGGAAACGGAAACCCACCAAAGGCTTCTCCCCTTCTTCGTTCTATTCACTCCGTCGCTCGGCGCCCTAGAGCAAGAACATGGCGATCGCGATCTCGCAGGAGGCCTTCGATGACATGGTCCGGGAGAACATGGAGGACCTCGGAATGGACCCCGACGAGGCCCTCGCCGACGCCGTCGACGCCCTCACCCTCCAGGGCGCCAACCTCTCCGGTACCCACGGACCCAGCCCCCGTCCTCTCCAGGGCTTCAGATCTCTGATCTTTCTTACTCGCGTGACCACGCGGCGGACTGAACCTCTCGCCACCTCCTGCAGGGATCATCAGGCGCGTGCCTGGGGACGCCGTGGCGGAGGAGGTGAACCCGGTGATGCGGGTGCTGGACGAACTGAAGGCCTCTGCCAGTGGTAGGTCGGGGGAGGATCTTGACAGGCTGGTCTCTTTGCTCGACGAGTTGCTCGAGCTGTGCTCCGGCGAGGGGGCGGAGAATGCGGCCGTGGCGGCACGGAACGGTGGCGTGGAGGCGCTCGTCGCCCTGTGCGCTTCGGCTGGGGTTATGCAGGAGGGGCTGCTTGCTTCGGGCTTGAAGGCGCTGAGCTCCCTGATCCGTGGTATGTTGCTGTCTTCGCGAATGTTCTTGGATAGGAGGATGTTCTATTGATTTTACGTTCCACAAAGGATAGATGTGAGGGTTTTAATTTTCTCCATATAATTTTTTATCTACCAGAACAGCATTATCTGGTCGTTTTCTGACATTTGGGGATGAACTCAATCTGCAGATGTTGGGAGCACTGAAAAGTTCAGGCAAAGCCAAGGGCCCAAAATTGTCATGGATATCTTGAAAGGAGCCCTGGAAAATTCAGATATACTCGATGGTGGTTTTAGTGTCGTGGCAGCGGCATCTGCTGGCAATGAAGTTGTGAAAGACGCCTTTATGGACTTGAAGGTCGATGAACTCATTCTGGAGGTTATGAGGAACAAATCAAATAGTAAAGTGCAAAGCGTGTATGATGCCATACGTGTTCTGTTGACACCCGACGATAACCGAGTGGTGGCTTCTCAAGTATGTCCTATATGCTTGTAGAATCATGTGAAGATTTGATATAATTTTAATTTTACATTAGCACGTGCATCACTTTGATTTGCATATTTATTACTCGGTTTGAATATGACAATCATGAAATTAGTTTACCAGAGATAAATCCATATGGGGAAATTAGATTGAGTTATAGTAAGGTGCTGTCTGTATGAGATGCATAGGAAGCTAAATTAGGTGTTAAAACAGAAATTTCATAGTTATATATTAACTGCAATCTAGCATGATGTAGAAGTAACGGTGCACATCTGAATGTAGTTAGATTTCACATCCGCATAAAAATATTGACATGAACTTCTTGTGACTATTAGATACTAGATAGAATGTAAAAAAAAAAAAGCCAACTTGGTATCACATGGTTTCATGTTTTGAACATTCTGGTTTCTCATTGTCATCGGCACATGTACATCTTGCACTCTTGCTTGTAAGTTGACACTGTAATTTACAAATGAATGTTGGATCCAAAGAGATGAAATTGACAGGCTTGTGGTGCAGGTATATGGATATTCCAGGAAATTTGCAGAAATTGGCGTCGCAGAAGTTCTTGTCATCGCACTCCGCGAGCAAGTTGCTCCATCCAGCTTGCCATCAGCTTGTGCTGCTTTGAAGGCAATTGCTGTTAATGTAAGAATAAACTACGATATATACATACCCCATAAATGATAGTTGAACAGTTTTATGTTATGGTTTCAACTTTCAATTTCCGCAGCAGCGAGGCTCCATTTTTTCTGGGGCAATTTTTACTATGTTTATAAACTTTATCTGGCCAATAGAATATGAATTGCAGGCAACTAGTGTACATAAAGCTTGATGTTCATAAAATTTCCTGACATGTTATTGCTTCCTTTTACTTTTGGTCCTGTGTATCAAAAACTTATTTCCTATATGCCTATATGGAATTGTGATAATAAATAAATAAAAGTCATTTACCCTGAATGCTTATGAGAACATCACCATCTTTAGTTCTTGTGTACCACAGGAAGAAATATGCCGGTCCATATCTGAAAATGGTGGGATTGATGTGCTTCTTAAGTGCATCGATGAGGCTGGCGTACAAAAGAACAAGGTTATAGCAAAATCTTGCTGCTCTTTGCTGTCTAAGGTATGGTAGTATGGCACAACACTGCAACATCACTGTACCACAGGAATCCCTTCTTTTTGTATGAGAACAATCCTACTTTGATTAAATCAAACTTACATCACATTCTTCTTGAAGCTGGCTGGAAGTGATGCAAACAAGGCCAATATCATTCAGCAAGATGGTTTTGACAAGTTCTTGAAGTTAGCGTCTAGATTTTCTGAAGACCCGTCAGTAATACAGGAGGTAATAACCACAGATGTGCAATGCTGAAGAATCTGTATACTCTATGAGCCATTTCCATATCCTGTAACGAACTAACTGAATGTGTAGGTAATGTCTATCGTGCAAGTCCTTACATTGCGGTCACCAGACCATGCAGCCCGTGCAGTCGCGCTAGGCTATGGCACTCTGGCCATACAGACAATGCAAAAGTTCCCCTCCTCCGCACTGACTCAGAAGCAAGCATGCCTTATGATTCGCAATCTCGTGGTCAGAAACCCTGAAAACAGGTACAATGTAGAAGTCACATCTCTCCGAAATCTACTGCTGCAGCTGGTTTTTATTCCCAATGTGATGTGCTCATGCTTATACTTTCTTCTCAACACTTATTTTTACCACCACAGGACGATCTTGCTTAACGAAGGCGTGGAGAAGCTTATCAGGAAAGCCAAGGCAATACATGGAAGCTGCAAAGCTGCCGCCACAGATGCCTTGAGAGACCTGGGCTTGGACAACTACAATGCGTAGAGAACATAGATAGCCTACCGTGTGTAAAGTTTGCCTGTCCGAGGATGTCTTGGAAGAATATATGTTGTGTTTGGGTTCATAGAACTGGGCTGCCACGGTTATGTCTGCTTCTGGTTCCATTTTTGTGGGAATTTTGAATTGTGTGGTTACATGGTCTGGTTACGTACGTATGTTCGAAGTTTTAACCAATGAACAGAAATATCGTGACCTGCTGCACGAACTAGCTCAAAAAAATCGCCACCTGCCATGATTTTATGTACTCCATCCGGTTCTTGAAAAGGTGATGCATTGCATATGGGCATAACTAACTTGTTTGGATTGAGTACTTTCTTGTTTAGATTGGGTACTTCAAATTCATCTGCATAGATTTACGACAATGGCCAATTATTTTCTAGAATGAATCCTGAACGTTGTGACACCTCTGGTTGTCGAATTCGTCATGGGTCATTCCTATCTGAACTATGCAGTGTAGATAGCTGTCGTCAACAATGTCAAGTGCAAATGGGTGGTTTTGGCACCTCTGGTTGTCGAATTCATCATGGGTCATTCCTATCTGGGACCATTCAACTGGGTGGTTTTGGCAGGGTTATTGGGGGCTCCAAATGCATGGGCCAAGTGCAAAGATACGCAAATGGAACGTAAAAAGACATGTCATGTCATCAACAATGTTTCATCAATTCTCGCAAAATGTGTTTTGCCAGAAGTTGTCGAGATATCCAAGAGTTCAAGTCAATGAAAAACATTTCTTTCGACAGCATTGCTACCACTTCTATACTAACACAAAAGGTTCAGGTGCCCCCACTGTTTTCAGCCATCCACTGGGAGTTATTTCTCCCGTCCAAACTCCATCAGTATAACTGCAAAGAATAAAGCATCAAGTCAAAACGCATAGACAAACTACAAGCCCGGCGAAATAATTGCAGTAGGTTCTAAGAACAACCTGAAGTTTTTCACAGGGCAGCTCCCAGCATGTGTGACAGACGAAACAATGGAAAGGCGCTTGCTTGAGGCATCAGTTTTTATCCTACAACAACGACAAAAAAGACCATCAGTTACGCAGAAAAGGAAAGGATCTGGTCTGGCCCGTGTTTCACAACATCAGCATTTGGCGGCCAAATAGTTCATTATCTATTGTTTCTGTGCCCAAAGGTCCAAACCAAAGAACTTAAATGGCGATGAATATGGTATTAGGAAAGTACTTCGTCACTTTTCTCTGAACTTGCTGCCAATACTCCACTTTTCTCTGAACTTCCTGACATCTCGAACATCTTGGAAAATGCCTTCCGCTCCAGATTGCGTCTGTCAGTAACCTGGGGTAATCACAGATGACAAGTCAGCAACATCTTGTACGAACAATCATTAGTCCCAAAATTCATAACCACAATGAACTAACCTTCTTCTTTGCAGCAGCCAGCTCCCGTTTGATTCCTCCTGAGGATCAGAAATACAAAAACCAACATTCTTAGCTGCAAATGGGGGAAAATGTACTAATAGTCAATGAGGGGGCAATAAGATATACAAACCATCGTTTGGCTCCAACTCCAACGCACGCTGGAAGCTCTCAACTGCAGCATCAATATTCTTGAGTGTCATGCGTGCCTGCATTCCAATACCTTATTATTGACAAGCCAAGTTTGAAGCTGATGAGAAGGCGCTAAGAATTAATATTCCCAGCACCGACACGACAAGGATTAAAAATAATATTGCACCACGGTTAGCAAGAATGTAAGTTTTAGAATGTAGTACGCATACACATAAAATGATGCTCAAGTGGCACAGATGCAAATCTTCAATTTGACGGAAGTGCACATCTTCATGTCCAACATATAAAGTAAGATGTACTCAACGATAAACACATGCAAATAAGCCAGTTTGATTTCACATAAATGCAAGTAGTTTGAGCGTACAAGTGTAACACAGGGAAGGTAAACTGCGCTGGTCATAGTTTTGTCAAAACATGTTTGTAGTGCATATAATTTCCACAACATTTGGTCTGTGGATAGTAGTATATTACATGGAAGTTTAACACTGACCTGTCCTTGACGGAAAAAAGCTTTTGCGTTGCCCTCTGTTTCACGCAGTGCAAAGTCTGCATCTAACAAAGCACCCTCCACATCTCCCAGCTTCAGTTTGCATGCCTGAAGAAGTTACAGGTGACTTCCATATACCAGGAAAAAACAATGATTTTACAAGGAAAAAAAAACTCTATTTCACATAGAAAACACAAAGTTGTACCAAATAGAATTTCTCTAAATGTAGTAATATAGAGGGCATGCATTTGTGATCTGTCCATGAACAAGTGGCAGAAAGTTGAACTTACAGAACTATTTGTGAGTATAATTGACTTTGTTTTCCGCAGTGCTGAGCTGTTCTCTGCACATTAATAGGTTGTTAGGATTAGCAAGTAAAATGCACCTCTTTCCATAAGCACCTTAACAAAAGTAAACAGCAATAAGAAACAAAAGAACAGCTACCTTGATCTATCTCTTCTTTCTCCCAGCAAATATCTAAATACCGCATAGCTTTTCTGTACTTTCTGAGTGCAGCCTTGTAATCATGTTTCTGTAGAGAGGCAGAAACTTCAGTTGTAAGTTCCAAACAGGAATCAAGTTAGGTGTAGTATTTTTAAAATTTAACATGCTATGTTTACCCAGTTTATTAGTGCATCTACGCTTTAGCCAAAGAATTGGGCAATACATGTTATTAATGCATTACATGCAACGACAATGAAAACTTCCTCAACTGAACCAAATAAGACTAGCAAAAATATGAACAGGAAGTGCTGTCCATTGAGCAATGCGAACCTTAAAATTTTCATTCCCGAAAGACTTTGCAGAATCAACGGCATTAATCCACCACAAAACGTCTGCAGGCTTTTCATCGAGGTCAATAGGCCAATCAGGATACATGTCACCATCTTTGAAGAAATTTGCAACTCCTTCAGTTGAACCTTCTGGCAGTTCCCCACAATCAACAATAACAATATCATCAGTTGGAAGGTCAGCTTCTCCAGCACAAACATGCTCCATTGCACGAACCACTCCCATCCCTTTTACAACCCTCCCGAAGACAACATGTTTCCCATCAAGGTGTGGTGTTCGGGTGGTAGTGATGAAAAACTGAGATCCATTTGTGTTGGGACCAGAATTCGCCATTGATAACATCCCTTTCCTCTCATGCTTCAAAACAAAATTCTCATCCTCAAAATTCAATCCATATATTGACTCGCCCCCAGTCCCATCACCAGCAGTTATATCTCCACCTTGCACCATAAAACCCTTGATGATACGATGAAAAGATGAGCCCTGAAGAGTAAAAGTTACCCAAAAAAATAAGTAGTTGAAGGGTTAAAGATCCCATACTTCACAGAAGTAAAAGGTATCCTGCAGTGGTCCCCAAAGGAAAAAATCATTATTACCATAAAGAATAACCAACTCTAGTTCATAACTTCATATAAAAAATGCTTGTCTTGGTCATTCTTTCAGAAAAGAAAAGATTATGGATAATGCTAACTCTGTGCAGTTAAACATCAAAATCACCACGATTCTCTTACTAGAAAATGGAAAGCAATTTGGTGGCTGCAAATGAAAGCGGGGCAATCTTGCCTTCCGTCTACGAAAGAAAATGGGCAATAGAGGATAGCAAACATGTGTTAGTCTCTGCCACTATGAAGCAAACGGTACAAAAGTGCCGTTATCCAAAGTTGGATCTCTATCGCTCCAACAGTTAAGTGGGAGACTTATCACTACTTCAATAATGCTCTGCTCCACTCAATGTTGAGGAAATCGTTAACTGGTAGCTGCTCGGTGGGCTGGTGAGTAGGGGATTAATAGGATAATCGGCAAGTTAATCGGCCATTTAATCAATTAATCGACGATTTATCGGGTAATCGGCTACTCGGGGACCCTATGAGTAGGGATTAATCGGCAAGTTAACTGGTTAATCGGATGAATTCTTGAACAGGGGCTCCACTTATGTGCTTCTGCCACATTATCATCCCAATTCATGGTTAAAATGCCAAGTCTCACTTAAGCATGTTAACTTATTTACCAGTTCAGAACTATCACCAGAAAATAGTAAATCCACATTGACCACATAATATTATTTTGCAACCACTCAGTTTGTCCTTGACTGGGACACTTGAAGCACAAAACAACTAATGCAGAGCTAGGTCTACTTGGTTCTGACAGATCCTGCTTCAAGGATAAGCTACAACCAAATTGTGCCAAGAAAAAATTGCCAGAGGCTGAGACCATATATGCAGTTGGTGAGACTTGACATATGTCCAAAACTAGAAAAATCACAAGGTACTTTCTCTACCTAATGAAGTCCATATGACCACATAAAACCCTGTTTAACCATACCAGAATCCCTTTTCATAGTCCACTATTCTATTGCCAACCATACACCCAGTTGGCCAAAAAACAAAAGTATCAGTTTTCCTACAAACTATGGTGCTTCCAATTCTCAGCAAGTGCTTCAAGAGACCAGAAAGGCAGAAACAGAAGCAAGTGTTGGCCATATTGTACCAGCACTAGTGGTAGGCACTAGTACATGAAGCATTATTACCAGTAGTATGCCAAAGCAAGTGTAATGTACAGTTTAAAAGCAACAGGACTAATCGGAAAGTTACAGGCACTATTATGCACACTGAAGAAAGCTGTAGCAGTAACAAAGACAGCAAAAACAAAATCGCCCAATCAAAGCAGAAAGGCCTGCAAGGACTCATGTTTGGCTGATAAATCGCCAGCCATAGACAGAATCACAGTTCGCGCAATTAAACTATCCAACCCTAAATCACTGAACCGAGAACCGTGTTACCTGATGCCCAACAATCTATTCGACTATGCGCAAAACGCACATTTGACAGTGTTCGAAATCGAAT